TATTTAACCTGTAATTTGAGGTTAAGATAGAACCAGTAGAACCACTGGGAATTTGGGAAAAACTTTCTAAAAGCACTTTTTCTTGTCTCACCACAATGCTGAAGCAGATTCTTAACAAACCAGAGGCAACTTCAGCAGCATGAAACAAAATGACCTCCAGCCCTCATTTGGATCACTCAGATCAACCTTTCAAAATCTGCATTTGAAATTTCTGCATTTCACCTTCCAGATCTCAACCTTGTGCACCTCTTCAAGGTGCTACTCTGCTGTTCTCCCTGTCACTGGTCACTCCAACCACACAGGTTTCTGTCTGCTTTGGGGTGTGCCATAACATCTCACCCTGTTTGTCTTACGGAGATGGAAGTGAGGTCCCCTCTGAGCTAGTGGCAGGCTTTAACCAGGAGCCTCCCTCCTGATTGCCCCTCTTGGGACCTTGATAGGTTGTCACAAACCGAACACCAATCACCGCAGTTCATCAAGTGCTTACAGCGTTGTGATTTCAATTGGCAGGAATTACTGGTTTTTATCTCTATCGTTACAACAACCCTGAAAGTGTATGATATATCAAAGTGCATAAATGCATGCTACTGTCATGTATAACTAATTAAAACAAATTAAAATAATAATAATAATAAACTCCCTGAAAGTTAGGGTTTGATTTCACCATTCCCCATGTGAGAAAATAGAATGTTCAGTGATCCTAAATAATTTTCCCAATACCATACAATTAGTATGTGGAGCTCAAAACATGAGTCCAAAGCTACCTGACCCCAAAATCTATGCTCTTATCCCTTTATCACTCCTACCCTCGATCTTGTAATTTTCAAATATAGCTGTCATTCAATTTAAACAAATTTCAGTTATGCAGAGGATGAGAATTAGACTCTCATCCTGATTATAAAGAATTTATAAACGGAGAGGTGAGATACACCCAGAAAAATAGAAAATAGCAAAAACAGACTGTACCATCTTGGGGGACTCTACTATTCAGCCAGCATCTGTTGACCAGCTACTATAAGTGGCATTGTCCTCCAAATACACCTACAAGTCCTAACCAGTCAGGTGACCTGTGGTTCCTGGACACCAGACTGTTTCCTGCTTCTAAGTTTTTGTACATGTGACTCTTCTGCTTGCAATATCCTTATCACCAGCATCCCCTTTACAAACTCCTATTTCTTTTTCTTTCAAACTTTTATTTTTTTAAAAAAATACTGATTAAGTGACCTTTTCTCTGGCCCTTCCATAATCTATTCTCTACACAGCACCTAGCATGATCTAAAAATGTAATTGAGACCTCTCACAATTCTGCCTAAGACTCTCCAGAAGCCTCCTGTGGTTTCCAATAATAATAGAACAGCACTGAACTCCTCACCTTCCAGATCTCAGCCTTGTGCACCTCTCCAAGGTGCTGCTCTGCTGTTCTACCTGTCACTGGTCACTCCAACCACACAGGTTTCTTTCTGCTTTGCAAGGATGCCATGCTCTCTCCTCTCACAAGGGCTTGGCAAGCTCTGGTCCTGCTCTCCGAACTGCCAGCTCCTTCTCAGCCATCGGGTCTCCCCTTGGTCCCCTTTAGCAAGTCCCTCTGCAGCTACCTTTTCCAAACAGCCCTCCTCCCCAGCAATTTCTATGTACCATAATAACCATAATACTCTGCCTTATGCTCCTTTTAGTCACTACTTTTAAAACGAGTTTATTTTATCTCTGTTGCTCTGAGATTTTATGATATTTTGTGAGCCTCACAGACTGCTGGGTCCCTAGTACCTAATACAGTACTTGGCATTCTGTAGATCTCCGATTAATAACAGGTTTTCTTGTTTGAATCCTCTTCTGATGTGCATAAAAATATAGATTGAGCATCCCTTATCCAAAATGCTTGCTACCAGATATGTTGCAGATTTCAACATTTTTTTCAAGATTTAGTAATATCTGCATAGACTTTCCTGGTTAATCATCCTTCACCTGATCATTCAAAATCAGAAGTGTTCCAAAATTAACAACTTTTTGTGCATCATGTCAATGCTCATTTTTTTGGGATCATTTAGGATCAGGGATGCTCCATTGGAAACTCCTGGGTGGATAGGTAGTTATTTTTCTTCATTGAGCTCCTTCTATTTGCCAGGCACCGTTCTAGCATATAAAAGTGAATAACAGACAAGATCCCTGGAGTCAGGACTTTCATGGTTTGGAATAACACAGAAAACATATAGGTTGAATAAATATTGTCATTCCAAGCCTTAATAAATAGTAGGAAAACAAGGTTGGGTTATATATAGAATTTGCAGAATCTTGGTTAAGGGGAGATGAGCTGACATTTAAGCATGTAATGCTGCCTTACTTATATCATTATTTGCTTATTTGTTTTTCTTCTCAACTAAATGAGGGAAGATCTGTGCTTTGTGTCTTGTTGCATTACCAGCATCTAGAACAGTGGCTGCATGTAGTTGGGGCTTTATAATTATTAAATAAACAATAACTCTGCAGAATGAGAAGGAACCATCAAATGATGATCTAGGAAAAGGTCTTCACACACAGGAAAAAGCATTTCTTTTTTAAAGAAGTATTTCTGTTTGGTCTGAACCATCTTTTTTGTTTCAGAAGATAAAACATTAGGCAGCGAGTTGACTACAGTACACAAGGGAGAGGGGGTTAGGAAGAGCATTTGGAGAATAAATGGTGACCAGAATATGGACTTGCAATAAGGCCTTGGTAAAGAGTTAGGGATTTTCTTTCTAAATTTTCTTCAAAATGGACATTAAGTGCTTGATGCATCATTTACTTAAACACCTACTTAATCTGAGGAATAATGAGTTCACAGAAAAGGAGAAAAGAGAAGAAAGTGCCTTCCATGAAAGCTAAAATAATGATAAGCTTCTTGGCAATGTCACTTGACCAAGGAAAGAGAGTTTCCTGAGTCCCTATCTTCACCTGGTAGTAGCACTTGCATGATATACAAGGGAAAATGAAGAGCTCAGATTGTCCCAATTATTGAGCTTTAATATTAGAAGGTTTTGATACCAAATATGCAAATCAATGCAAAATAAAGAGATAACAGAGTCTGCATTGATATAAGTTATTGGAAGGTGATATCATCACTCATCCATCCTTCTCCTCGATTCTGTATACCCATTATCCCACTTACTTAGTTGCTAAATAACTATTCTTTGTGCAGTTACTGCATGCTAGGTCCTAGAGAAACAGATGAAGAACACAGATGATCCCTTCTTTCATGGAGTTTGCTTTCTAACATGTCTTTGAAAACCCTGCCTGGTGGAAAATATTGACTGAGACAGGGAAGTGCTGCTGAAAATCTTTAATAAGGTCCCAATTTCACATCCTGAATAAGCTTTGTGATATATTGTACTTTAGGGCAAATCAAGAACCTTGATTTGATATACCTCACCTGTGGAACGGGTATATTGATATTGCCCCCTAGTGGTCATAGGAATAAAACCAGTCTAATAGACACAAAAGGAATGAGCAATGCCAGCTGTCCACCTTACTGAATATACCTATGTACAAAAATAGCCTCCAAGTCTGCAACTTATAACCGTCATATTTTTTCCCTCACTTAGGACATTTTCCAATTTGTCATTTGAATGCCACTAAAGAGAAAAGGTAAAACTTGGTTCCAAATCCTTTCATATTTTCTTTCTACCGTGGCTAGTCTCGTTCACACAAATCTCTTTGCAGGCAGAAAACAAAATCCTAAGGCAGGCATTCAAGAACAATTGCTTGGAGAATATTCAGGCTCCATCTGTAGAGTGGGTCCCATGTCTATTAAACTTGCCCTCTTTTGTCATGGGAGAAGAGCCCATGCGAATCCTCAGGCAAGCAGCCTGGGGTGGTTGAGAGGCTGTGTCTGGATCCAGGCTGGCCAGGTCAAGCCCTGGTAGATTGGGAGATCCAGTGGCACCATTCCAGATGACTCCACCTGATTCTCTGAGCTCAGAGGACCCAGGAACTACTTCCTTTGTGGGGTGGCTGTGGTTGGAAGTTTCAAAATGAGACTAGACATAAGTGAAAGACCCAAGGCTCTGTCTATGACAAGTGCTCAATAAATAGGAGCTTCAAGTAAATTTTTTAAAAGGAAGAGTTTTGAAAACATAAAAGACTGTTAGTAAATCCACTCCTCTTGCTACTACTATCCTTGTGAAAGGCAAGCCAAATGGTGGCTGTTTTGTGATGTTTGAAGTCCAATTAAAAGGGATAAAAAGATGGGCTGGGGTGAGACTCAGTGGTGGAGCATTTTCCTGGCATGTATAAGGCCTTGGGTTTGATGCCCAATCCTGTACAAAATAATAATAATAATAATAATAATAATAATAATAATAATAATAATAATAATAATAAAATAAAGATAAGAAGTTATTGAAGTGGCTTAAACTGAAGTCACCTGAATATTCTGTATCTCATATTCCATAGGATAGAAGCTTCAAAAAAAAATTTCTCTTCATTCTTCCCCTGTGCACAGAGCAATTGAGCAACTGGGATTTCCAGGTCACTTGTACTCCCCAAATATCAGTACACAAGGAGCCTCCTTTTTTGTTGGTCACTCAGATCAGGTCTGTGCCATCTTAACTACCTGCAGTGTGGCCATTCAGGAAAGAGTAGTATAAACAACTTGAAAACTGCCATCAGACACTGGTCGACATGCATGAAGGCACTTTGGTTTGCTTTGGGTGCTGTTATGAAGAAGAGAACAATCCCAAACAGCTCCAGGAAGAGTCTCTCCTGTCCCAATTTCACATCTTGAGTAAGCTTTGTGGTATATTGTACTTTAGGGCAAGTACATGGATTGTGGGCCAAGCACTTCACCCAGATTGCCGCCAGCAATGAAGGAAACAGCAAGTAACCTAGCATTGGCCTAGATTCCTCGCTCTCCCTCACATCTCCCACCCCATGGCTGAACGAGTGGTTGCTGGTTTTCTTCCAAAATAGATTTTGAATCCATCAATTTCTTTTATCTCATGTCTGCCACCCCATATGTGTCAAGTTACTTAAATGCTCTCTGGTTCACTTTCCTCATCTGTGAAACATCTAATTCTTAGGAATGTTATAAATGGAATTCTAGATGTGAAACACAATAGAATGTTTTTGTTACTGTGACTGCAATGACTTCCTAGGTTGTCTTCCTGTTTCCACCCGTTTTTTTCTAAATTTATTACTTATACAGTATCCAGAGTGCTCTTTAAAAAAATAAATGTCAGCTCACATCACTGTTTGGCTTACAACGACCCAATGGCTTCCCAATGCATTTGGAGCAAACCTCAGTTTCACCCCATCACTCATAAGATTCTCCATCACCACCCATTACCTAGCTTATGGGCTTTACTGTGATCCCATTCTTTCTGGTTCTTTATATATGTGGAGACATTGCACCAGCTATTCCCTCTCCTGGAATGTTCTAGATTTTCCTATGACAGGACTGGGTTCCCATCATTCAGGTCTCAAGCCAAATGTCACCACCTCACAGAGGCCTTTCTTGATCATTCTAAATGTCCTTTAGTTACTCCCAACCCACAGTTATTATAATACTCTAAATTTTTTTCTCTATAGCATTTACCACTATTTTAAAAAGCACGGAAAATGCATTTACTTGGTCACAGTGCTACTGTTACTGCTGTTATTATTATTTTACTTGAATTCCTGAGATAAGGCACCAGAACCCCATTTCCAAAGCATCAGCAGCTTCCTTTGTGTCACGAAGTCCTAGATATAGTCACACAACCACCCAGCCCTCGCAAGCTCTTATGTTTCCACTCTGTGTGGGTAGACTTGACAAAAACACAGATACAGAAGTATACTCTAAAAGAAGGAGCCATCCACACAACTCAAAATAGGCTGATACTAGTTTTATAACACATTCCTCAAAAGTAAGACACAAGATTAAAAAGCTCAAGTGAGAAAATGATAGACTTTCTAGAATGTATTTGCAGACCGTGTCTGAGATACTGCGCATCTGCGTCTTCCGTACTCCAGAAATCAACAGCTTCTCCTTTCCCGAGTCAGATTTCCTGAGTCAGGACTACTCTCTGCCACTTAATGGGAGAGAAGTCAATTTATAGCTAATGAATAAAATATTAGCCAACTCTGCTAAGTCCTGACAGAGGCCCAGCACTGACTGCTGCCCTGGGACCCACCTGCTTTGTTTACACAAACCGTGGCTGCTTATTCATAAGAGGGATGCCAGCCAGCTTGGTTTACAGGAGAGTGATGACAAAGAATAATTTCTAAACAGCCACTTCTGTTGGGAGCTAATGAGATATTAATATTTCACAGACAACAAGGAAAGGGGAAGCTAAGGGTTGAAAAAAATCCAGACTCATTGAGTCTTCTGTTCACTTCATGCTTTATACAATTTATCTTACTGATCTTCATAACAGCGCTATGAAGGAAATACTATTACCACGTGCCCATTTTACAGATGTGTCAAAGCTCTGAACGGTTGCAGTGAGTCATCTACAGTGTGGATGATGGGTTTGAACTTCTGTTAATATCTGACTTCAGATCTGTACTTGTTTTATGATGTAATGCTGCTTCTCAGATTTAATACAAAAGGGGAGGAAGCCCAGAAAGGAAAGATGGTGCTTGTAGAGGCACTGAGTTATTAACCAGATGGTTAAAAGGCGTCTCTGTAAAAATACAGCTAGAGCACAGAGACTCCTCTTTTATGAACAATGGTTGCAAACAACAGGAGTAAACTTGGAGAAGAGTACAGGACTTAAATGCTTTAAGGACTCTCATGGAAAGAAGAGGTAAGGCAATGTCTGCTGTGCCACAGATAGATCTTGGAGATGGTGGGGAGTTTGGGGTATGGAGGTCGATATTTTTTTTCTCTAGCTTACTTTGAAGTAAGTCAACAACAAGCAAATAAACAAACAAAACAAATGTGCACAGATACATGTAAAATATTTTGTCTTCTTTGTCTACTGCTATATACAAAGGTACTTGGTATATAGGATATATTCAATAACTATGTGCTGAATGAATAAAATATTCCCCAAGAAAGAAAAAATGCTGAACTTTTCAGGTACAATGTTCTCCATCAGTGGATGTTTGGAGACTAGGGTTCTAAGCCTGGATTGTTATCCTTGGTAGGAAGTTATATAATAGCCAAGCAAGACACTCTCCAGACGCCAGATACTGCAATAAATTCTTTACAGTTATTATTTCATTTAACCCTCACCACAATGATGCAAATTAGGTCCTGTAAACATTGCTCTCTTATAGAAGTAGAAACTGCGGTCTGCAGAGGTTAGAGCATGCTCAATGTTACAGGTATTAAATGTAGTACTTAGATACCCAGGCTTTCATTAATTTTATACTATGTACCCTAGCTACATCAGATTAATGTCAGTTACCTTTACAGTAATGATATTATATATTCTATTTTAAAATCTATTTTCTAAATTTAATATGGGCATCTCCTGAACATGGGAGATGATCTTCCCAAACAAGCACTAGTTTCCATGGAAATTGTATCTAAGGCTATTGAGCACCATGGCACTTGTGTATTCAAATTAACATCAACAAGACAAAGTCCAAACTCCTCAGCTTAGCGTTTAACATATAGTTGTTCCTCAGCATCTGGGGAATTGCTTCCAGGACCTCTCATGGATAGAAAATCTGCAGATGCCTGAGTTTCTCATATAAAATGGTTTAGAATTTGCATATAACGTATGCAGATCTCCAGGGGTTTTTTGTTGTTGTTGTTGTTTTTGTTTTTTTGGTACTGAGGAATGAACCCCCAGGGGCTCTCAACTACTGAGGCACATTCCTAGCCCTTTTTAAAATATTTTATTTAGAGACAGGGTCTTGCTGAGTTGCTTAGGGCTTTGCTAAGTTGCTGAGGCCAGTTTTAACTCTCTATCCTCCTGCCTCAACCTCCTGAGCTACTGGGATTATGGTTCCTGGCCAGATCTTTTAAATCATCTGTAGATTACTTATAATATCTAATATAATATAAATGTTATATGAAGAGTTGCTATACTATATTGTTTTATAGAAAATGACAAGAAAAAATCTTTGTATGTTTAGTACAGACACAACTTTTTTCACACATTTTCTGTCTGAGGTTGGTTGAATCCATGGACTCAGAATCCACAGATAGGGAGGGCCAACTACAGGATTCAACATTATCTCTCGCTCTCTCTTTTTTTTATGTTTCTAAAAGTAGTGAGTTTATTTCAAAGCATCACATTAAATTTGAATCCAGTCAACAAAACCATGTCTTCTTATGTGTTGATTTTACAAAGAATACAGACTTGCAAACAACAGATATTATAAAGTAGTTCAAAGTAAAAGGTATCTTTTAAAGCTGGAGATATAGCTCAGTTGATAGGGTCCCTGCCTTCCATGAATAAGGTCCTGGGTTCAGTCCCTAGCACCACATACACACAAAAAAGTTATCTCTTATTTTTTCATATTAGAATGCTTTCTATTTATTTTCTCTTATTTATTACTACACCCCTACTTTCAATCATGTTCTAACTCCATCCTGACTGTCCATTGGTCAATCTGTCCATCCCTCAATCCATCCATCTACCCACTCACCCATGAATCAAGAATGTGGTTATTTTCAGGAACAATAGCCTGCCTGGATTCCACTTGCAGTGTATTGAAAAGGAACAAATAAGTAAACCTACCTAATTCCTACTCATCATACAGGATAACAGCTTGAATTACTTCCTCTTCCATGAAGCCACCCCTAAGAACTCTGTTCCCTCTTTATCTTGTTTCTAATTATTACTATGGCTCATATCATAATTAATATATGATGAAACCTCATTTCAGATGTGAGTTGTATTATAAAGTCAACATAAAAGGACAGAATGGTCAAAACTATTCTTATAAATCCTTAGGAAAGGTAGCACCATGTTGGAGACTGAGTTTTCTCTCCCAACAGGCACGTTACAGCAAGTTTGTCACTCATGTTGGTGTGGTTTGCTGTTTCTGAGGTTACAGTGCCATTGCCACCATACCTCAGGGCCAAAATGTGGGGAAAATGCATAAACAACACAGTCCCAGCACACACATGCTCATACCGAGATGGTCACAGCATCACAGCCACGAGACAACCAAGGCCCACCCAGTCTAGCAGAGGTACACTGTCTCTTTAGCAGTCACAGCAGGGTTTGTGCTGAGTGAACGGTGCACTCCACTGCCTGAGCCATCAGCACTATTTTGTCCCTTTCACATACATGCAGCTCCATGGTTTGCCTTGTGCTTAGGACACTTGACTCTTTCAAATAGGCAACTCCATTAAGAGCACAAGAACTGAGTCTAGCACTACACAGATGGACCCTTGTTGAATAAGAGGATCTTATCAATCACTTGGTATACAGGATTCTCCTGACACTTCAATTCCCTTTCTATACTTTCTCTGCTCTAACTCTACTTAACTCTTTCTAGAATTAAGTAGACATAAAGACAGGTAACTTCATACCGCCTGCCTCTGCCTATGGAGCACCCGTTCCCAAGTCATCATTCATCCTCAGTACTCATGTCAGGTGTTTCCTCTTTATTGATGACTTGACTGGATTCATGCCCCTATTCTTCATGCTATCTAGATCCCTGTCATTTGCCATGTAAACCTTTAGTGCCTTTCCACTCTGACCTTGGACTTGGCCATCTGAGTTGCTTTGAGCAATAGAATGTTAACAAAGGTGACACAGCAAAGGATTTAAAATAGAACATAGTAGAACATAATCTAATGGGATTGTCTTGGTTGACTGTTGCCACTTCCAGGAGTGCATTCCTGGGGCTGATTTGCTGAGATGGTTGGTGCCAAGTCCAGGTGCCCAGTCCTCCCTGCCCCAATACAATCCTAGATCAGCCAGCTTCATGCTGACCCCCTAGACATGTGAGCAGCCCTAGACAGAATCAGTAAAGCTGCCTGATAGTCCACAGATGACTGAAACATACTAGCAAGTCCAGATCAACTGCACCTCACAGATTCACATTGTATGCTGTTGAAGGTTTGCGTTTATTAAATCGTATTAATGGAGCAGTAGATAGTTGATACATCTTTACACTCCTCTGACCCTTCCTGACACTCTCAAGTAGTGACCATTCCCTAACAGGTGCAAACTCTTAATCTTATAATCAACTCTATAACAAATGTAATACACTTTATTATAAACATTTGATGAATGAATCAGTAATATGTTCATTTTTGATCTAGTTTCTCCTTCAAAGACTAACCTTGCACACAAGAACATCCTTGTGAGATAGGCAAGGCTTATAGTTAAAATAATCTGGGCATATCTGGGCTAGAATCGTGTCTCAGCAAGTGGCAAATTTCCTGGACCCTCGTGTCTTGAGCTATAAAACCAGGACAGCAGCAGCAACTTTGCCAAGGCTCCAGAGACAACTAAATGACAAAGTCTGTAAAAAGTAGCCAGCTCAATGGGTGTCACTTCAAAGGGCTCATGATTTGGTTGGGTGAATTAATGAACTGACACTTCCACAGCAAAATTCTTCTGAAGCAGCATACCAGAAATAGCACACCCTGTACACCATTACTGATTCCTAACATCACAGCTGCCCAGAGCATTCTATAACCTCTAAATGAATTTATGACTATCAAAGCTCATGTTTCAATTTACTGAACCCATCTGTACAATAAAAAAAAGTACTTCAGAGGACCATCTCTGCAACTTAATGTCAGCATAGTAGTTAAATGCAGTTTATTTAATCTTTCTTTTAAAACAAAAGTTGCAGATTGTTGCTTATAAATCTGCTCTTCCTGCAACTCTTCTGAGGACAACAGACACTTGACTTGAGCTCCCTGCCTGCTGTTAGGCAAGCAAAGTAGCCTGGTTGATGGTGTGAACTCCTACACAATTAAGGAGCAGGTACTCACCTCTCTGGAGGTGGGCAGTCCTCTTTTACGGTCACTGCAAGAAAAAGAGGCAAAGTTAAAAAAAAAAAAGTGTTGGCAGCAGTCTGGTTAAAGTGAACGATGCTCATGGCATGGCTGGATCCCAGAGACTAGGTATATGTTAATTCACCTGTGTTCCCAAACACCCCACTCCCCCCATGGTATGGGGGTGGGGCGGGGGTTAC